TGTAAGTATGTATGGCCGTCCTGTCGAGATTGTCGAGATTGGAATCACGGGCTGACGGAAATTGCACGTACCGGTGATGAATATAGGCAAGTATCCTTATGACTGCCACTCTCTGGTCGGTGATCATGCTTCCACTTGGTCCTGGCCCCATTGAGTCACTGGACATAGACCGACAAAAAAGTGAGTAGTTAACGTTATTATGCCTATTGTCTGGATGGCCCTTGTGTTCGTGAGAGCGCAGAAGCGAGGCTCACGAGGCGCAAGCCCCTTCCAGCTGTCTTGGACTACAGCTCTACCATCTCTGGACTTGTCTGGGAATCGATCAAGTGATCCTTGCGTTCCTCGCTGTTGCGTGATTGAGCGAGGACTTGGGATACTGACGCCTAAGAGCTAGACAAGTATTGCGACGATAAGGCCCCATCCGGGGTCATATAGGAGGTTGATGGGTGACGGTGATTTTGCACTGAAGCCTGTCAGTTACCAGCAAGACGGTATGCCGGACCTGGTTCAAGGTTATGCATCGCATGTGTAGCCGTAGATAAGTTGCGACAAATCATCAAGAGTGAGTTGTTCTGCACCAATCCGAGTTTGATCGAATGCCGGGAAACGTAGGTATGTTTGGGTGCGTATTTGTCCACTGCCCAGTATTACTGGCGCAAACGCTTCAGCACTATGGAGGAACAATGCTCGCGGGTGTTGCAAAGGATCAGCGGTAAAACCTAGGTTTTGGTAGGGCTTTACAGGACCCCTGAAAATACCGATAGATGCCGGTGCAAGACTCGATTTTGTCATGTCCGGACTTTTTCTGGCGGCCCCCCGCCTTTATGTCCGGATAAAATACCGGCCTCGGCCAAGGTCATATTCATGTCCGGACTATTGCCCCGGCCTCTAGGAAACAGCAAAAATCACCCGTTGTAGTCCACAAGTCATTCTAGACACTAGATATATATACTAGGGTGTATGAAAACCTGACATGTGCATAGTCTGAGGTAGAAAGTTCAATAGATAACAGAAGAGCCTTCGGGCTTGTCTCCAGCATGCAAAGGATAGACGTGGCAGGCAAATTGAGTGATTCGGCAGGCAGCGAGCATTGCCAGGGTCTGAGAGACAGTGCGAAATACCCGCCCGTTCATGGCTTCGTAGCCCTGGATGGCGAGATACGATACCGCAGCGATATTGGAGCCATCCGGCACCCAGCTGTGTCTTCCATGTGTGCCTCCGGATTTCAGCGTAAACTGTATAATTCCGTGCAACTAAGGGGTACCCGAGGGTTCACGACTACAGGGGAGGCATGCCTATCCTTATTCGGTGAGAAATACCATACGGGGTAATGAATCTAATGATAATGCACTAGCTAATCGCGACGAAGTGGCGAGTTGCTGACCATGTCCGGACTACAACCGGCCTCACTGCTGGGGTGCCGTTGGTGTCCGGACTAGAAAACCGGGTTGGCCGGCTGAGACCCCTACCTACGTCCGGACTGGCTCCGGCGTCCCTTGCCCGAGCCGCTTTTTTTGTCCGGACTGGCACCGGCATCTATCGGTATTTTCAGGGGTCCTGTACCGTTGCCGAGCAGGACCAGGTCGACTTTAGGAAATCGAGCACAGCAATGCGGGCTTGCACTCGGGGTCCTGGCACCGCGTGATGGAAAGGAGTGACATCCACCTCTAAATATCGAGTTCCTCCTGTGCTAATGCTTGTTGACTTCTATGTGCTCTCTCAGTACACTTCTATTAGGTCTGAGAGTATGGAAAGAGCCTATACACATAGTCTGGTACAGTATATGTGTAATTAACACCCTTCTCTGTATGAATCATGCAATACTATATATTACCAAGGTCTGCCTATGGTATAAGTGACAACTCTGCTTTGTTGTTTAAGATCTAGACAAACCATGTAGTCTGGTTCATAGCTCGTATACACTCATCATGGAATTGTAGGAGTGGTGGCATGTCAGGATTGAGGTGGCTCTCTAACAACCATCCCGACTTGGAAGGTACATCGGCGAAGTATCCTGTGCCTCAAAGACTCCAACAAGAATTCTGGTGGGGGAAAGTGCTATTCGAAGCAATGTGTTGCACTTTATAGTAGGTTTGATAGCTAAGAACAGTGGACTATATGTTGGTATCAGAAGCCGGCCGGTGAATTAAGTACATGTCCTAGGCTACTACTAAATCTGAGTGTGACCAGTCTCATCTCCTGGCAACTTGTATCATCAATGTAGAGATTGAAGCTCCAATATGGCTTGAATGAACAATGCTTCCCGCTTGGGCCTCGAAGTTGACTTCAGTACCACCCAAGTATGGCGGTAGTCACACTATATATGGTAGATGTCTAGCTACTGGAAATGTGACTGCATGTCACAGAACCACGCCACAGAGACCCCAACACCACAATCCGAACTCGCGACGCTCAAAGTCGACCTGGTCCTGCTCGGCAACGGTACACTGAACTCGGACGCCGACAACTGACCCGGTACCGCGGCCACATGGGCTAACCCTTGGCGTCTTCGGTGACGTTAATCTCGATTATCATGTCTGGCCACGCTGCCCCACAACGCTGTGTACGGCATCAGTATGCGCCAGATCTTATGGCCGGGAGGTGTGACGTTGGGTTATCCCCCGTTTAAGCCTACTAACGATCCCAGTCGCGGGCTTGTAGTTCCCCTATACGCTGGGAATTGGAACACAAGTGTTTCACAAAGTCGCAGGTAATCGTCTACCGGGGCCCCTAGGGGAGATTTTGCAGTTGGACCTGTCTGGCCTGATTCTGTGATCCTAGCGATGATTCGAACTCATGACATAGCAGTCATCGTGACTGCTGTCTCATCTTGCCCTTTTTGGTGCAGTGCATCACAAGGTCCACCGTCAGAAAGGCAGTCATTAGGAACAGGGAGGAAGAAGAAGCAGGAATTCCGCAAGCTCGCCTTCTATCTTCGATACCTGGCTCCATTACGAACTAGAATGGCGATTTACTCCGCCACGCGGCGTGTGGTCGCTCACGATTCACTAACAGTGTCCTAGGGGCACGCTTCAGCGTTGCCCGGACTATATAATGTGCAAGGATTCTAAATGATTTCCTCGCTCTCGAGCTACCTAGTCCCTAGAGCTGCACACCGGTGACCTCTGGAATCCCTGAGTCAATCATGTTCCGCTACTCAGCCCTCTTGTCACTGCTTGTGCTCGCCATCGGCGCAGTCGCCTCGCCGATCGCTGTCGACAACACCCCCAAGGTCACCATCGCTATCGCGAGCAAGTTCAACTCGACCGGTCCTGTCAACATCGTTGCGGCCGACCGTGCTCGCATTGCTCACCTCAAGAACAAGGCAGGTTCGGGAGCTAAGCGGGCCTCGTACTCGTTCGATATCACGAACACCGCTGTGAGTGATTCTATGGGCTGAATGATGTGGTCCCATTAATTCGGTCCGAAGGTCACGTATACCACTGGTGTTGCCATTGGTAGTCCCGCCACGACCTGTTAGTTGTATTTTGGCATTGTTGCGCAATGTCTCCTACTTATGGCGGATCCTACTTTTAGACACACTCCTCATTGATACTGGCAGCTCCAACACTTGGGTCGGAGCTGACAAAAGCTACACCGCGACCAGCACCAGCAAGAGTACGGGCCACCGCGTGGTATGTGCCGAATGTATCTATACATCCGTGTTATGTGCTCATTCAGGTTTAGTCGGTCACCTACGGTTCTGGGTCATTCTCCGGCACCGAATGTACGAAACCTTCAATTGCGTCATGGAGTTCTGTCATGAAACTAATACCACGTCCGCTAGATACTGACAGGGTCTCCCTGTCTTCCGACCTCACCATCAACTCCCAGTCCATTGGCGTAGCTTCCTCCTCTTCCGGGTTCGGGTCGGGAATTGATGGCATCCTTGGTATCGGTCCCGTGGCTCTCACGGAAGGTCGGCAGTACAACCTCTCCAACCTCCTTAGCGGATATTGATTCTGGATTTGCGCAGGCACTGTCTCCGGTGTCTCCAGCGTTCCCACCGTCACCGACAACCTGTATTCGCAGGGCACCATCTCGACCGAGGCCATCGGTGTCTACTTTGCGCCCACTACTTCCCGCTCGACCACCAACGGCGAGTTGACATTCGGCGGTGCTGACTCCAGCAAGTATACCGGCAGCCTTAAGTACACCTCCCTGACCAGCACGTCTCCCGCGAGCGAGTACTGGGGTATCGACCAGTCCATCACCTACAACGGCCAGACCATCCTCTCTTCCACTGCTGGTATCGTCGACACTGGCACTACCCTCGTCTACATTGCCTCTGGTATGCGTGGCCTATTTCGGATTGCTCGTACCCGTTACTAAACGCTGGCCTAGATGCGTACAACAAGTACGTCAAGGCCACCGGCGCTTCACTGGACTCGTCCACCGGCCTCCTCAAGATCAGCTCGTCTCAGTACAACAACCTCAAGACCCTGAACTTCAACATCGGCGGCACCGCGTACGGCCTGACCGCCAACGCGCAGATTTGGCCCCGCTCCCTGAACACCTACATTGGCGGCTCAAGCAACAGCATCTACCTGATCGTCAATGACGTCTGTATCCTCTTCCTTCATACGTGCTGTTGTCCGCCGTAATCTGACCCCACCTTTCAATAGATCGGCACGAACAGCGGCGAGGGCCTCGACTTCATCGACGGGTACACCTTCCTCGAGAGGTTCTACACCGTCTACGACACCACCAACAGCCGCTTCGGTATTGCTACCACCCAGTACACGTCTGCAACCTCCAACTAGATGGATGCCTCACGTTGCTGGAGAGGAGTCGGTCAAGGGCAGGAGTCACGGGAACTTGCAAATCATCTATTCAGGGAATTTATAGAACATGTAGTACCAGAATGACCGGAATGTCATTTGATGTTCGCTAGATCAGTGTGATCTGACCTCTGGCCTAAGACCTTGACTAAAATTGCCTTTCGGTGTCTGGGATCCCCGATTTGTCCTACAGGAAGGGTGGGCGATATCTGAGTTAAATCTCATTCGCTTCCTTCTGTCTCGATGGAACCTTAGCTGGATGTTGCCACTCCTTAAGCTTCTTGCAAGCTGTGGCTTCGGAGGATGGTCCGAAAAAGGGAGTAGGTCCCCGTAATAGTGCGATGTTGTAGGATGCACATGTAACAGAGGCAAACAGAGGCCTTCGAGTCTATGAGGGGATACAGGATACACAAAAAATGTACGGCTTTACAGTAGTACGCAATGAGTATTATCTGGGTTGCTCCGGTGAAGACTCGAGAGGCCGACGGTGAGGTGTCCGACGTCTATAATACATGACTAGCTCGCCCGCTTGCCTCCATACGTATTGTCGCACTGCAGCCAATGTCATGTCGAGAGGAAGGACCAGCTCGTTACAGAGAATCTCATAATGCTCCTCGGCTCGAGGGCGGGGCTTGCTGGCAGTATCATGCGGTCTCCCGGAGTCAAACGAGGACCTCGGGGTAGTGAAAGTCGAGTTGCCTGCAAGCCGTTCTAGCTTGTCTTGTACCTTCCAAAAAAAATCAACTATGGCATGCAGCATTGGGAATGCCTGCTACTCACATGGTAAGTCAGCTTGCGGACTCGCAAGAAACGGCTCGCAGTAAGTTTGGATTGTGCACTGGTGACGCGTGAGTAGGCACACCAGTTAGGACATGGAGACGTACGTATTCAGAAGTTCAGGTAGCCTCTCCTCATCCGGGGTCTTCGCGGGATAAGGCAGTAGCACGAAGCTGACCTTCGACACCGGGATAGGGGCAACCTTATTGGCCAAAAGGTATTCCAATAACCAAAAAGGCATGGCTTCTTCCAGAGCTCTCATGTCTGCTCCTGTAGAGGAGACACTACCCCGGTACAATGTCTTCCATCCGGATGCGGCCTCTTCCGATATGATGAGGGAAGTATTCGGTGCCAGGGATAAGTGAGGTCCGTCTGCAGAGGTGGGAGGGGTGATGGGATTTGCTAAAAGGGACTGGACTGGGGACTTCGTCCCAGGTCCGGGGGTTGACGTGTCCTGAGAGGGAAGCATCAGCCATATTTGTTATGAGAAGTCGAGATCCCGGCCACATTACTAACCTCCGCTGGTGTACTAGGTACTTCGTGAGACACCGCTGAGCCGCCTGGTGTTGTTATGCTGCCAGCCTCACTCGCCCTCTTCGAGCTCTTTCCGAAGTGACGCAATTTACCCATAAATCCACCAGCACTGGGTGTGCTAGGAGTTGCTGGTATGGCAGAATCATTTGCAGTCTTCGGAGGACCCCAGACAGCAAAATCGTCAGGCGTAGTGGGCCTCCCTCCAGACACCGAATTTTGCCGAGCCCGTAGGGAGAAGTAGTCGCCGTCTTTGGAAGATGTAGCTGGGGCTGTGGCGACGCCAGCAGCGATAACCGGCTTGGGCTGAGGTACAGGCGTCGCATCATTGCTCGCTACGGTAGGCGACTGAGGTATCGGTGACAAACCGCTTTCCTTGCCGATCGGAAACAGCTGGATCATCGGTGTCAAGAGCGGTGATGACTTTGCACTGATAGGGACTGCAGGCGAAACTGCGGGAAGCATATTAGGGGACGCTAAGACAGTACTATGGAACGGGGAACGGTTGGATGATATGGACGCGTCGGAATTAGAGCGTGGTCGAGCTTCTGGCGGGGAATGCCCGTTAATGTCGATGTGTGATGGCGCTGACCCGCGATGCAGACCCTTGTGGTGCGTAGAGTCGCGCTCGTCCCGAGCCCTTCTCGTGGCTGCCCGCTGTTCTTCTCGAATGAACCCAAGGAACAAGTTGCGCAGTATCCACTTCCCGATATTCACTACCAGAATACAATACTCAGCGCTGAGTTCTCAGCCATGAGACAAAACTCACATCTTGATTCGTCGCTGAAGTGCTTTTCGGGCCCATACCCCGCTTCGTCGGCATAAATCTCCGCCTCAAAACACTTCTCGTTCATATGCACAGTGAGCACGCCCGTCTTGGTATCCACCGACGACCAAGCAGTTACCACCGCCTCCCCCTCAATCCTCTCCCTGACCGACTCGAGTGCCTCCCGCGGACTCCGCTCCCGTTCGCCCGCGCCGTCGCTCCCACCCGCCGTACTCCCTCTAAAGCTCGCCGCGGATACGTCCTCGGGGGAGTACTTCCCCAAGCACGTCCCGCGCACGATATCCCACACCGCGACCTCACCCGCTGTGTCTACCGTCAGCGCATGCATACGGTCGTTCAGCGTGATCGAGCGCACGAGCCCGTGGTCGCCCTCGATAGTGTGGTCCGGAGCCTTCACCAGCGGCACTGCATCAGCGGCCACCTCGCGCTCCTCATAGTCCGCGCGTGCGGTATGCAGGGGCGGCACCGGCTCCTCTAGCCCGCGCGAGTTCAGCGTGTCGCTACGCATCGTGGGCGCGCTGGAGAGCAGCGGCGGCTGCGAGGCGGTGAACGCGGCTTGCATTGGCGAGCGGTGCGGGACGGAGAGGATCGACGCGGCGGAGTACAATGTCGCGACTTCCGGGTCTCTGCCGCGGCCCAGACCCGTGTACGGCGTGAAAGGATCGTTTGGCGACGTGAGCCGCACGAGACTCTCGAAGGGGATGCCGAAAAGGGTGTCGGCGTCGTGGTACTCCCTCTGCTCAAATGCGGAGCTCAGGGAGCCATGCAGCGAGGGCGAGAGGGATACCCTGTGCTGCCCTTTCATGGATGAGTGTTGCCCATTGAAGTCGAACGGGTTGATCGCTCGAGGCGGCGATCGCGGACGCTCGATATCGTGGGAGTTCCGTTTCTTCGATATCGCAGGCGCGTGATAGTCCAACGGCCCAGGACTGTCGGTATCCCCTGCACCCAGGGTAGACGCACGCGCAGCTCGCCGAGGAGGCAGCCGCCACCGCTTGATGCTCGAGTTGCCCGCCGCGGTCCACAACAGGTTATCGTCCATGACAACCATCTTGATGATACCTTCTGAAGTTCCGGGGCATCGCTCGCTCGGGTCTTGGCACAGGACTATGCACTCCCCTTCCGACACATCCGCGCAATCCTCTACGTCCACTCGGCATACAAGGCCTGACCTGTCCCCCGAGTAGAATACCTCCAGCGAAGGATGAGACGAGAATAGTGACCACACCGAGTCTGTATGATGCGTGAACGTGTGCAGACACTTTTGCGACGATATCGACCATAGCTTGACGGACGCTGCGAATAGTTCTGTAAGGACGCTCATGCGCCATGATAAACTACTCACCATCTGCTGAACCCGTGAGAAGCTACATAAGATCAGTACAGCACAGGAGTGAAGCGCAATACTTACATATCTCGAATCCTCCGAGATCAGGATTGCCCTGATGTTGTCCGTATGTCCCACCAATTTCGCGATCCGTCTACCGCTCCGGGGGTCCCACATCCTGACCACGCGTTCCGGGGACCCGCTCGCGATCGTATGCCCGCACGGGTCCGCCGCCAGCGCGTAGATGCTCGACTTGGGGCCGGACGACTCGGGCGGGCTGAGCGTGATCAGCGGCTCGTCCGCCGAGGTGCGCGAGAGGTCCCACAGTTTGATCGTGCGGTCGAACGAGCCCGACGCGACCCAGTTCTGCTCGCGACTTGGGCAAATGAGATACGCCCGACAAGCAGGGGGCAAGGCTCACCTGAGGGCGAGACAGCGCACGTAGTCGACGTGCGTCCCGATGACGGTCGGCTCTGGCGCGTTGGCCGTGTGCGGGGTCCATGCCTTCACGGTGCCGTCGGACGAGGCGGACAGAACTAGAAACTGGTCAAGGAGAGACGCAGTGTGCCGCACGCCGCCCACGCACCTGTCTGGTTGTAGTTACATAGCAATACATCGTTGACCCAGTCTGTGTGGGCCTGCGCTGCCTGTCGGAACGTCGTGGGCTGTATCGAGCATGGCTAATGAGAGGGGATCAGACACTCGGCAGAGAGACAGGGGACTCACTTTACCCGGCTCGAAGGCGTCCACGTCCATCTCCCACTGCTCCTCATACGGGATCTCTGCGCTGTTCTTCTTTATGCGTTTCCGCCGCCATGCAGCGCTCTCTTTCACCTCACCAAGGATGTCTCCGTCCCTCACTACCTCCTCCCCTTCCTCCTCCTCCTCGATAACATCATCCGCCCAGCCCGTCAGCATCTCCCAGCGCGCAGCAGCGGTGCGTTGCCCCTCTGCATACACACCGTACCTCCGCGCCCTCTTCTTCGTGGGCACACCCAACTCCCAAGATATGACGAGTCCATCCCGACCGCCCGTGTATAGTATCCCTTCCGGGGTCGAACGGCCTACGAGCTGCGTTGATGTATCGAGCGCGAGGGCGGTAACTCCGAGTCGATGCCTCGGGTGCTGCGCACGCCTGGCAGTGCGCGCATCTTCCTCATGATTGCTGGACTGCGCCGGGATGAGCAGAGGTCCAGTCGCTCCATGACGGGCTATTCCATGGTGCGGCAGCTGAAGACGAGGTACAGGGCCAGGCGGCGGGGGTATAACGTAGGAAACTCTTCGACGAGGCTGAGGGGCCATGGAATAGGTAGAGGGCCTTCGTCGTATATTACATGCGCCCGAGCAGAGTGCTCGTCGTCCGTGGCATCGAGCACGATACAAGTCGTGAACGGTCCCGCGTTAGCCGGCTACTCATTCCGGCGTGCCTGATGGCGATCACTCTATTTGCCGACCACTGGCCGATCCTTCTGAGCTATCTGTTTGTCGGTCTGCGTCGCTTGACAAGTCCGCATGAAACGCAGAGCTTGCGTTGCTCGACGGACGGAGGCTGGGGCAGAGGGCTGTGGGAGGGGGGGAGACGGAGGGGGATAAAGGCGGGAAGGGTGCGTCCTTGTACATAATATTTCCTCCAGATGCCTTCAATCGATGTAGCAGGGCCCGCCGAAGCCACACTTCTTTTACAATCAGCACCCCCTAAAGGTTATACTGTAGCTCCAGGCTTTCAATTTTCGGTGTCTACTTTTCGCGTCTGTTGTTTTTCGCTATCGTCAACTGTCAGGCTTTCCTATTCCATGCAAGGGCTGGCCGTGTCGAACTATTTAAATCTCTCGTATCGTAATTCCGTTTATTTTCCATGGATAAAGCCCACGGCTTTCACGCCTTGGCCAGCCGAGGACTCAAGAGATAAGGAGTTCGACGAGGCTCTTGTCGACAGGCGACAATGATCGCGTCTGTGGTATGGCTTGCAGTTACATTTTCTCTAGCAGCGTACGCCCATGCCAGTGACATCCTGGACGACATCTCTCTCACCGGGGCGGCATCATTCATCTCGACAGCGGAAGCAAATGCCACATTCACCTCCTTCGATCCCCGGGAAGCCACCATCGCGTCGGTGCAGCACGCCATCTTCCACCAGGCGATCTCGTGCCGCACCATCGTCCAATCCTTCCTTGACCGCATCGCAGCCTACGACAAGCAAGGGCCCTACATCAACGCTATCATCACCACAAACCCGCATGCCCTGGTCTATGCTGACGAGCTTGATACGAAGTTACAGCAGCCGGGCTTCGTCCCGGGCGTGCTGCATTGCGTGCCAATGGTCTTGAAGGATAACTATGACACGTTCGACATGCCGACTACTGGGGGGAGTCTCAGCTTGAAGGGGGCACAACCTGCTGCTGATGCTTCGGCTACCGAGAGGATACGAGACGCTGGCGCCGTCATCCTCGCGAAAGCGAATCTGCATGAATTCGCTATCGCCGGTCTTACGATCTCAAGTATACTAGGGCAGGTATGGAGTACTAGCGCTTCCCTTCATTATTCGTTAGGTTTGAAATATTGCCACTTATGGTAGACCAAAAATCCGTATGATCTGACTCGCACACCTGGAGGTACGTCGGCCACATGTCTCGTAGCGTCGAAGCAATGATTCAGGCGCTATAAAGGATCCAGTGGTGGGACCGGGGCAAGCGTCGCGGCCTCTTTCGCCGTCATGGGCACCGGCACGGATACGGTGAACTCCATCCGCTCGCCCACATCTGCCAACTCCCTCGTTGGCATCCGCCCGACTCGTGGATTGGTCTCCCGGGACGGCATTGTCCCGCTGTCATACACTCAAGACGCGATCGGTCCTCTAGCGCGAACCGTGTTCGATGCTGCGACGCTGCTAGGCGTAATGGCGGGTTATAACCCTGCTGATAACGTGTCAGCGCTGGGTGTGGGTCATGCAGAGGACTATGCGTCCTATGCTTTGCGCGGAGCGCGCAACGAGTCGTTATTGCAGGGACTCCGTATTGGCATCATCGACATCCTCATTAACCAGACGGAAAGTGACCCGGAGGTGTACGCGGTTAACAAAGTATTCAATGCTACTCTGGCTACGTTGGAGCAGGCGGGGGCGATCCTGCTTCACGTTACGGACCCAACATTGGACATCTCGCACCTCTCAGCCGTATTCGACGTCCAGATCTACGAATTCCGCGCCGAGCTGGACACCTACCTCGGAAACTACAACGGCAGTGTCCCGGCGACGAGCCTTGACGAGATCGTCTCGCAGAACCTGTACGAGAAGGGAGACGCGGCCACGGGAGCCTTCATGCGCAACGCGACTGTCCCTTTGAATAACGAGACTAACCCCGAGTACTTCACCCGCCGCTCGGGCATCGACGGTTTGCGCACCCAGTTGGCGCTGCGGTTCGCGGAGCAGGAGTTGGACGTCATGTTCTATCCGCATCAGAACCGGCTTGTCGTGCCCATCGGCTCGCCCAGTCAGATTGGCAGGAACGGTCTGGTAGCGGCGTTGACTGGCCTTCCAGCGATTGGGGTGCCTGGAGGGTTCAGCGACCCGAGTGGGACGGCGCCGATGGGCGTCCCGGTTGGTGTGGAGTTTATGGGCAGGCCGTTCGAGGAAGGGAAGCTGGTGGAAATTGCTGCTGCGTTTGAGAGGTTGGCGAGGGCGAGGCGGCCCCCCCTGAGCACTTGGAAAAGTGTTTAGACGCTCATATCGTACATATACACAATGGACTCTCAGTATCCTTGCCTCTCCACGGCAGCCTGATCTAAGTACAAGTACGTGTGTCAGACCTGAGTAGACATGAAATCCAAAATGCTGCCACGTTCCTCTGAGTTCAATTTTCTGCGCATGCTCGTTAACGCCGGTTTGGTCAGGTTTGGTATAGGGCGACAATTGACGCGATCATGATGTGGCTTTGCTTGTAGAGTACTGCGATCTCGCCGCACCCGACGTTTCCCGGTCCGTGTTCAAGATGGTCAATATAACATACGAAATGCTGGAGGTCAATCACAACATCAAGTTAACTGCCTCTGTCAGGTTTTGACAGGTGTTCTCTACATGTCGCGTCGTCTCATACGGAACACTACTATTATCTTGCTAGGCGCGTCTTCAGTCTATGCCTATGCCGAAACTCGCCGTCTGTCGAAGACATATCCTTTGCGTCCTGCGACAGGCCCATATTACAACCAAACCCTCCTAACGAGCCAGGAGTCGACGCGTTACTTCCCTTCAGAAGGCACGGACATCCTCGTTGCGAGAGTCTCGAGGCGCGCCCTCGTGTCAGCGGCGCAGAAGCTTGGTTTGAATGATGCCACGTCCCTCAATGCGACCTGGGCGCGGACGTTTCTCGAGGCGCCCATCATCAGCCTCGAAGGTCAGGTTATTGGCGGAAGCAAGGACAGGGGGGACACAGGCGCGTCGGGATTCCATCCGGGACAGAGACTTTTAAATGGGGCGTTCAAGGTGGAGGAACCACCCTCTAGGACGGACCCGCTCGTGGTCTCATGGAGCATGCCCGAAGAACCTGTCAGCTTCTTCGAGAAGATCGCGGCCTGGGGTTACCCGTGGCGGTTGATGTCGGGCGGGCGGCATTCGATCGGGGTTGTGGAGATACCAGACTCTGACGGGAACGAGGTGGAGGTGATCTTTGGGTGCGCGCATGAGTATGAACGGTGGAATAGGGCGAATGGGAAGGAGGACGGTAAGGTCATTCCTGACTGGACCGGCTGGTGCCATAGGATGTACGGGAGGTTGGTTTTGGACGACGCAGTCAGACAGTTAATGAAAAATAGTGGAGATAATTGAAAGCGAGCGAATGGTGCAAGTACGCCTATTCTCCTCTGCACAAAGAGCCTCTATCTCACAATTGGACCGCAGAGCGGAATACGTTTATGAAGATATAACAAGACAGGATTTCTTAACATACCAATAACGGCGGCCTCTCCTGGTCAGCCCCGCATATTCTGTGTCTTGTTCGTGGACGAGTCTGGCCTCCCTGGCTCCCATTGGCAGACTCTGCAACCGTAACGTTTCAAATCGGTGGCGAATATATCCGGTTGTCAGAGATGAATCACTCAGATGATACGCAATACCGACGACCGTGCCCATGTTCGCTGGAATCCCGGACGAAATACCGAACACATGGGATATCGCGAGGATAAACTGAGCTTGACGCAGGTCGAAGGGCACCGTGACTACCTTTGAGCAGCCCCAGAGAGGACATCGGCGTCTCTGCGGCGTCCTGTGCGATCCATCCGAAGTACGGATATGAGACATGAGGATTTCCGCGACATTACTGTACGGAAGCGCGGAGCTTCAGCGGCAGAACAGGTCGTACATATGCAAGGTGACGCTCTCGCAAGGTAACCCCGCGTTCTTGCCTAGTCTCAGTTGTACTACTGTCATTTTACTTTTGTTGTGGAACAGGTCACGTCTATCTAGAGTACCGGTCGCAGCAGAGCGGTTTAGAAGATAAGCGTGTACATGCTTGTATGGCACGCTCTACGTCCGTCAGTTCGCATGTTTGCTCGTCCCCTTGTCGTTGCCTGCCACGGGAGCGTTCGCAAGCATCTCCCGAACAGGCTCCGCTCTGCAGGACCTCAGAGCCTCTCGAACCTCTGCAATGCGCATCCTGCTCCCGGGCTCCTGCCTCCAACAGGAGGTGATTATAGTCCATATCTTATCGGGTACTCCATCGGGATGGGGAGGCCTTTTACCCCCAATTACGTTGAGTATGACAGTAGTTTCGACTCTCTCGTGGTACCATGGTGCTCGTCCCGTGTATATCTACGAAGTGTAAGTACCTAGAGGCGTCAGTCAAAGCAGATTACTCACCTCTAGACAGACGCAAGCAAAACTGTACATATCGCTAGATGGGTTTCTTACTTTGGAGTAGTCTTGCTCCTGGTTGTATAGGACCTCCGGGGCCATCCATTGTGCTGTACCTTTAGGCCTAGATGTCTGCAACGTCGCAGTGAAGGACTGGAAATGTTTTCCGATGCCGAAGTCCGTAATGCAAGGCCGCTTGTGGTCATCAATAAGGATGTTCGCCTGCAATCCGTGAGTTCCCTTTCCAGAGACCAGCAAGACTATTACCATACCGTCTTGAGGGAGGTTACGCATATGGTTGCTCGATATCAATATCGAGTGGCTGTGCCATTTCGTGGGACGAACCTACCAAATTCAACGAGTTATCGAGTGGCTGTGCCAGAGGCGCCACGACGGCTGCTATGGCTCTCCCCGAGAACTTGATTTGTGCCTGCCATGACAGGTGTCGGACGAGCTCCCGTACATGGGTACAATAGGTAAAATACCTGTGTATACTGTATACTTGAGACCATATATATGAAGGTAGATGTGGCTTGATATCCATTACCCCAAATCATACCAACAGACCTTGATGTCCATGCAGAGTTTTTATGGAGCAGTGAATGCTGAGTGTTCAGCACTTAGCAGCAGTTAGACAGTTCACAGCAGTAGATTAACAGAATTATTTTTAATGAAATATCCTCTGCGCAGTTGGCCTGACTGGGTGTCACCATATTTACAGATATCCGCAGTAATCCAGACCTTGTAAGGCGGCGTGGAGGGGGGAAAGCGTGCAAACTACAGATTCAATGCTAAACCTCTTTCGTGGAATTGTGGGGGAGTGGTGTTTGCTTTGAATGTTCAGAATAAGAAGTCACTTGCCCTGGAGGGCCCCAAATTGAGGAATTACAGTATTTTGGGCTTGAATCACCTTCAGAAAATATGCATGGACTAGCTGTAGACTTTCTCATGGTTTCAGCTGCCATTTTATAGGAGATATATCTCAGAGAACGATGGACGGGTTGAGTACTAGTATGGCCCCGGAGGGGCCGGACAAATTCGATTTTAGTAGTATTTACACTCGAATTTTACGGTAAAACATGCCATCAGTCACTCACTAGCTGCTTTGTTCCTACTTCGGGGCTCTGAGGGCGATTTGTGGAGCATAGGCCCGAGAGTAACGCAGATTTCGGTCCCAAGGGCCTCGAAGCCTCAATTGCCACATGGCTCTCTGAGCCAATCCCAATTTTTCTTTTTTCTTTTTCTTTTTATTTTCTTTTATTGCAACTCTATCATTATCGAGCCCGTCTTGAGATCCCCGTGCACAAACGGGGGATCTCTATTGTGAAGATAGTAGAGTCCTTCCGCGACATCTTCAACCTATGACGTAGTTCAGTCGCGCGTATGGTATCGCCTGAATGAGGATCTACGCACGATTTTGAGACGGTCGTGCTCTGGGTATCTGCTCAGAAACTTATCCACTTCACCGAAATTGCTCCAAGGAGAGACCAAGCATGGCCTTCCGTCGCTGAAGGGTTCGATGGATAAACCCAGGAAGGGGTACATATTGGGATGATGGAGCTGCTTCCAATAAAATCCTTCGCGATAAAGTGCCTGATAGAGAATGAGCATTTGCGAACGAGAAGGGGACTGATCGGGTATTACCTTTCGACCTTCCCTCTTCTTATCCTCGTCTGTTATTACATGTTCCCTAACTATCTTGATGGCTACGCATTGGTCAATCCCGGCGATCCTACCCTTGTATATGTCGCATGAGCGCCCACCCGCAATGGGCATGGTTCCGGGGCCCCCTTCGATCTCAACGTTGTGCACCATGAGACTCGACGGAAAAATCTCGATTTGAGGGCAGGTTTTTCTGAGGAATTGTCTGAAATCACGGGCATCTTCTGTGTCCTTGCTGGCTAGCTGCGTGTGTTTCAATGATCATGAACGATACTAGTAGAAAACGTATTACTAATACTGAGACGTACCTCCTGGATCACGTCCAGAAGACGAACGAAGGCAGGTATCATATTGCTTGGCAGGCCTTTAGCATCTTCCTCTAGTGACTGGGATCCGATGAACGCTTGAAGAGCAGACATGAATTGGGCATCGGGAATCGAACGCCATTCCAGTAATCCTGCAGTATGCTTCTCCTTGAGATATTCAACTGGTGTACATTATTTTGATAGGGACATACGGGTAATTTGGTCCTGGAAATTCATCCGGCGTGAGCTAGTGGGATCAGAATGTGGCTGGAACAAGAGCAGGATAGGATGGGTCGGTGTATGATGAACGACCGATATTGACTGTCCCTTGGTTCCATCGTTACTTCACTTGAGGCGAGCTTTTATACCCTGGAAAAGTGCAACGACGAAGCCAGCGATAATGAGTTGTCCAGCGCTTCAGAGGTTAGGTTTGATTGGCCCCAAAGAATCGGACCGCTCTTCAAGTGGATAGCGCCTGACAAAATGAGATAGAACCAGCGACGTAGCGCTCCTCGGACAGCACGCACTGGTCACGGGCGTAGATGATATTGCTCTAAAGTACATCCCACCGCGGCGCGCTTGCAAATTCCTCGAGGTAGAACTAGGAATGGCAGGGACGTGAGATCATTAGGAGGACCTTCTTCCCAGTACTAGTAACGGAGAAACCTTGACAAGCGCCAATGGCTCAAATACCAGAGCCATGGCACAGTCGCAGGCTCAAAGGGCGTGTAGGCAGGGAGGCAGGTGCCACATCACCCTGGGGTCAACGCAGAAGCTGATGGGTGTTCCATTACGAGGTCCCCTTGAACTGCAGATGAACGTTTCTAGTCGCGACGAACCTTGTTATGGCGCGCGCTGGGCTCATCCACCCTATGGATACTTCCATCGCACTCACCTAGTATATATCATATCAGCCTGTACCACGATTCAGGCGCTCAGGAGACGTACCCTGTTTTCAATGTAGAATTACCAATGATTACTACCGTGCAGGAACAAACTGCGGAAGAGCCCCGTGCTTTGTTGCTTATTCATCTTCCCGTAGGAGTATCACAGATATGTTACGTCGGACACGAACGTAGGCAGTACAACTCCCGACACAGTAGTACCTCAGGGATCGTCGAGACTGAAGGCACCCAAAAGCTGTGAACTGCGGGTCCGCTGGCCTGTTCCCCATATAGCCCCGTACAACAATGGACCAAGCTTTGTTTGTGGCCCAGTTAGTTCGGCCGACATATGAGTCCTTGTTTGCGCGATTTCGAGACGCAACTGCGCCGACGGCAGTCTGGAACCCATAACTGAACCTATTACAACGTGCCAGGGATCTTCACTGGAACACTCAGTGCTTCTGAAGCCTCTCCGCCGCCGGATAGACTTCAGAAGCACTGAGTCTTTGTGCGAACCTCTCCGAAGAAATAGCCATAGACTACTGGAATCTGGTAAAGATCCATTAGTGGCATATAATAGCACAATCTGCGGGTTCGCACAGTATCGTACAGGATAGCTGGCAACATCGTCTGGAGACACAGGTTTTCTACGAAGGAGCAGTCGGTAGGTCGTACACAGACCGTCGTTTGAGCTCGAGTCTCATTCAGGGCACCGATAGTCGCTATTATTTGCCCGCTATCCCGACCTCCAAGACATAACACTCTAGCACGAGAAGGCTGTGTCGGAAGACTGAAGGGATGTGGACGTTTCTGTACATATAACTCCGCTGCAAGGGTGGAGGGCCACTCCGTACCAGGAGTCGTTAAGGTAAAGCCGCGTAAGAAAGTGGTCGTCGTAGTGACAGGTCCAAACATAGCGAGAAGTCACGCTTGCGACCACACTTCCGAGGAAGGCAGCTCAATTGCCTACGTTAATGCCTGTAGAACAATGGATCATCGGACCTGCTATTCGGGAAGATGACCTAACGGAGGCACCGTGGTTGCGGGCGGTTTCATTATAGGCAGATGACCAAGTTCCGAAGTCCTGTCGACTCCCGAGTGAAGGGAGATAAGCACAGCAAACGGGCCCGCTGTCATTCAGGGTAGGCTGACGACATCTTCGAGCATCACTGACGTTCGATGAGGAGGACCTTGGAGGTCTGAGGCACGTTTTGTGAGAAACACGATAAGCGTCGTTGGCGTGATAGGCCGTACAGCGGATCCTTCGCACTTCGACAGACAAACGAACTACGGCATGGCCACTAACGCATTTCCTGCGCAGAGGCCATGCTATAGACCCGTCGGGCACGAAGTACGCTTATTGTTGAACATGCAAGGACATCATGTGGATAGCGTGTCGTAAAGCCAGAGCTAGACCTTGCAGCGCCAAGGCAAAGGAATCCAAGCTGGATAGTTCAGATGCTGCGGGACCAGTTGTACACCAATAGCCCGTTCCAACAGCAGCACGAGGATTGGCAGTTCATCGCAGCTTGCTCCGTATATGTTCCGAGCATCAAGGACACCTGGGAAAGCAAGCATCCTTGCCAGAACACGTTGTTAGCGAGCAAGACAGATGATCATGGGTATGCAGCAGCCCTAGTCGGTATCCAGAACTGACTGAGTGCAACGTCGACGCGGCAGCGGGAGGGGGTTGTGCGTGGGAACAATACGCGCCATGGCCATATTTGGGTATTACGTAACCCGACTGTAAACGGCAAACCGGCACGCCACAGTCCTCTTTCACGACGATGGGCAACCGCCCAAGCCCCGTTGCAAGCCTCTGAGCGTTCCGCAACTTGTCTGCTCTTTGTCGTCTGGTTGTGCGGCGTCGGCTTTACGTGCAAATAAGGGAAAGACGCCGTACGAGTGAAACCGTCGGTTGCTTATCGTGGCGTTGTGCGGCGGAGAGTCGGGCTCTGAACTTAGGTTCACAATTTTCGTACTCGTCCGCAACTCTACCTGTGCATCTGTGAGCCAACTTTGTTTCAAACTTTACTTCTGATGGTGGCTGATCGTTTCCCCCGACCTTCCATGCAACGTCGACGTCGTTGATGGGATTGTGTTTGTCGTTGCCGATGGTAGCGCGCACGTCCTGTGTGGTATGTCGGGCGCTTCCAACCCTGCGCAGCCCGCCTCAACAACAGCCTGGACGGAGCCGCCATGGTGTGGCTGGATAGAGACGACGGGTGATGCCCTTCTGATCCTTGAAGCAGCGCGGAGAGGCATTATTCCTCGTGTTACCCGTCGTTTGGTGGATTCTGAGAGGAAGATGATCACATCCGGGTCAGTCTTTGTCTTCGATGAGGAGGAAAGCGGGATCAAGCGATGGACGGACGGTTTCTTCTGGAGTCCAAGTCGCATCCTGGGCAACTTCCTTCTCTATCGCGAGACAGATAAGCGAGGTGCTGGCCATCGCGGCCTCCGAGCTGAACCATCGGAGTACGAGGGTAACGGCCATAACGGCCAGTATGGCGCGCAGGGGATGGGTCCAGATCTTGCTCCTCTGAGTCGTCCTAAGGGCGAACCGCGCACGATCAGCTTGGATAAGTATCGGGAGAGGACACTGCTGGGCAGTTTAACCAACAGTTATAAGTTCAAGCCGGATGGCTTAATGAAGAAGGTCTGTCATCGCCACTTCCGCTGATACTCTGTTATTGAAAAGGTCGACAGACGTTTTCCTTGACCATTGGTGGTGTGTCGCAGCACCTAATATCCTATTACCGAGTCTCCGATGTTGAGCAAGGGCGCTTACGCCCCCCATCATCGGTCCCGGAACTGGCGGCGCTGGATATAAGCCCCGAATATCTCGATAAGACACATTTCCGTAATCCGCCCAAAGTCGAGCTCGGTGCAGACGGCGTAATTCGTTATCGAGGCGAGGCGGATGAACTGGACCTTGCTCCACGAATGTTCCCTTCCCCTTCGTACGGCGTGCCCTTGCTCGCCGAACCACGGATACCCTCTCCTACTTCTGATACCGGGTCTTCTGGACCAGGCAAGCGCAGTAAGCGCTATGACCCGTACAATAATGGCGGTAAGCGTCGAAAGTCGAAGAACTCCCAGCATACCCAGGATTCTTCGGGCGACGCAGAGCAAGAGATTCAGTCTCCCGTGGCATCATCTCCGGAATCTCCTCAATCGTACATTGATCAGGGAATTACACCCGTGCCTCACTACGTGCCATATGGAGCGGCGCCCTATGGCTACTATCAAGGCTCGGGAGGTTATGGCACGACGTCGCCCCCGCCCATGTATGGAACTGCGCCCTACGCGCCTGGTCAACCTGTGGCGTCGCCGACTGCGACATCTCCTCAGGCCGGGTCCCCCACTTCGCCGCAGGGACCGTCCCCGCCGCCTCCGCCCTACCCATCCTACGCGTCCGGTGGTGTCGAGACCATGATGCAACCTGCCCCGATGCAGCAGCACATGTACCCATATTATCCCGCCCCTTATACGTCGTACCCGCCATATTCCCCCCCTTCTGCAGGCTCTGCGGCAGGCCCGGGTAACGCTTGGTACATGTCTTATCCGCCGCCGACTCTGCCTGTCGGCAAAGCTCCAGGCATCCCTGCCCTGGCTACGTCTTCCGCCCATATCACGCCTGTTGAGGAGAATGACGATGCTTAAGGACCCCGAGGCTTGGGGTTGTCGGTCTTCGGCTTGTTTCTTTCCTGATCATCCTTGTCGCCCATGCACTGGTCCTGCTCTGTATGATGTCCCCTGTGTCCTTGCTTACGACCTGTAACGTACTGTAGTGTGTAGTGATATCTTCGTTATTTTTTGCTTCCTGTCTGTCGCCTTTCTCCTCCTGACATATGTTCCCCTCCTGTCCACTTCCTCCTGTGCCCTTCTTGTCCGTAGTCTAGGGGTTCACCGATAGTCGCTTGCCATGCCTGCCTCTGCTTTATACCGATGTCCTGGCTCCTTGGATTCACATACCGTATGTACAGTATCGAGACTAATGTTGTTCTACTCGACGGATGTGACTTCATGAGATCTGAAGCTTGAAGTGCTGAAAGTCGTGCCTTGTCGTCTCATGTGGGTTAAAGTTCACCGGAATGTCGATCGTCTATGCGCATCGAATACGGCCTGCTTACAAGACACTCACGTAGTGCTCGTTTATAAGTTTTATTGCAAAGGCGCGGGATCAAGCCTACAATATGCTGTTCTGTGATGGTACATAGCTATAGACAGACTATACAAATGAGTGAACGTCGAACGAATGAATGGCGAGTCTAAACACCATCGTCCCTAGTTAAAAAGACAACGTCATTACCCTAGATTGTACATTTATTAGTCCAATTTGAAAGTGGATATAAGATAGCGCAGAAGTGCTAAGACAGAGGACATTATCCGCTTAATATGAGAAAATCATGAGCCAAGGGTTAAGCACGACCTGCGGCAATAGTTTGAGTAAAACAATCAGTAAAGCCCATGAGTGGGTTACTCACAGGATAGAGAATGTGGCAGCCGGAGACAATGCTAAAACAAACCCTCTGTCAGCGGGAAGGTCGAAAATCTCATCCGTGAAAGTGCACGTACGCAAGAGGGAAGATGACAGCCCATCCTTCCCCTGTTATCTGCCACCCAGTAGGAATAGCCGGAGTCGCCAGGACGACCATCATGGCGATGGACAGGAACGAGAGTATGAGTGCCAACCAGAACCGACGGAGAATCTTGGGGACCTCAATAAAGAAGTTCGAGCGCTCGACTTCCTTCTTTGTTGCACCCCATGTGATGTTGTAAGAGAATAAATGGGCAAGAATGGACTGGGTCAAGTGGATGCTTAGGCCACCGAAGAAGAAGAAGCTGTCAAGGGGATCAGGACAAGCTGAGTGGAAAAATAGATGATATACACACAAGAATGGTACCCAAGTAAGATTTTCCTTGGTGGCAGACCATATGCTGCGCAGGCCTAGTCGGTATTCCAGTAACGTGTAGGCAAAGTTACCCAAGCCCGGGAACACCACGGTACAGGCGAGCCAAATCTCGAAGCTGTGCATGTAGAAACCATCGATATCGACAGCGAAGCCAAGAAGGAGATAGTTCATGATCGAAAGAGTAAAACCCGCAGCAATGCCATCTATTATCATAGGTCAGCAACCATCACCCTGAATGTAATGGTGCTCTGTGCTCACAGTATGAGAACATATCTGTGGGGCAAGGAGGATATGATTGTCAAGGATTTTATAGGAGAGAAGTTGGGGTTCACTCACAAGACATCATACTGATCTTGTAATGGACAGGAGCGGAAGACCAGATGAAGCCGTGCAATTGCTTGTTGATAGGACCCTTTTTGTACCACTCGACGATAGGATTGAACATCAGCTCGCTGCAACCTATGCATAACCGTTAAGTCACGAAACGGTGGATCGCAGGATATGCGTACCATAAGAGTACTTCTGCCATCGGTTCAGTTCATCATCGCAGGTGAGTGATACGCCTTCCTTGAAGCCTCCTTCGGAGTAAGTAGCCCATCGGATCACGTAGCCCTTGAGCTAAGAAAGGCGAGAATGTCAAACCTCATTTAGCTGTGCCTTGTGAATATTCTTACCATTAGGCGCAAAGCCATATCGAAGTCCTCCGATACATTAGCTTCGCTCCAAATCTTGCGCTTGCCGTCCGCTGTATCGATGAAAGCAGCGTCCTGGAGAGCAGACCAGCGCAGGAACGCGTTATGGCCGACGAATGGCGCCACCTCGCCATTGGCAGTACCGATAGAAATACATTTGTTGATACGCCTTGTAAAGTGGGCAATACCGTTCTCGAAGTAGTGATGCGCCACTTGCATAACGTCTGCAGAGGTGTAAGTAGGACGGCAAATATTACAACTCAAGGACGAACCTGATTCATGTTGAATGATGCCAATCTCTGGACACTCAGCTAGTTCTCTAGCGGCATCACGTAGGCAGTCCTGTGCGGCCATTAGTAAATTATTTGGAGCATTTGTCGCAGTCTGCAGCTTACCTCGGGCACAATGGTATCCGAGTCGATGATCAGGATGATATCACCGACTCTGAGACTCTTGCCGTTGCAAGCCCAGCCCCTAAAGCCAGGCCTCCTTCCCCATTCGTCCCACATTTCCTCGAGAGCCATGTTCATAGCTCTGTCCTCAAGACATTGCATGTCTGACGCGCTAGAATTTACGCTGATGCCGCCCTGCCGCAGTTCCTCCTGTTCTGCCTCCACAAGGACCTTCAAGTGTTTCTCGAGCCTTAAGCTCAAGTCCAGACCGTAGTTCATATTACTGGCCTTCTTGAAGCGACCGGCCCGTTTGAAGCCGTCGGGCTTATTATCATGAGGCGGCCTGGCAACCCAACCGATATTGTGGTCCGAGTAGAAGGAGATGCGTGCTTCCCGTTCCTCCGGCGAGATAAGCTGCAGACCATCGTCGTGGACCAGAATGGATGAGGTTCCTCCCTGTCGGGCGTAGGTCTGCATAGCCTTCTTGAGAGAATACACCGACGGTGCACTGCAGCGAGAATCGTGTTAGCCGCGGATCAAGAGCATAACAGGCATAGAATGAAAGAGAGATCGAGCAGCTCCAATGCCATCGCGAGACACTGCAAAGCTAAAGCCAAAATGGATCGAAATCTCCAGATAGTTCCGAGGAACCAGCAAGCTTAAAGGCACGTGACCAGCCCAAGGTGGCAGATGAATTCGCAAAAGCAGAGCGGTATCTCGATCCTTGAACAACCATGATGGCGTTACTTACATTGTCTCCTTCAAACTTTCCTTGTATACGGGCATCTCGATCGTGACGTGGGGCAGGTTCGAATCGATCTCCCGATTAGGCTTGGGCTTAACAGCAGAGTAGTACTTCGAGTTTTCATGATATTGTGCCACAGGACCTAAACTGTCGTAGGAGGAAGTTAATACCGCGGGATACTGGCGGTGCAGAAGTACTCACGCCATAGCCAAATTGCCAATTATCTGAAGAGCGAAGAACTGGGGCACAGTCAGAAGAGTGTAGGCACGGTAGAGAACATACTTACGAGAGAAACACAGAACACGAATGGCACCGTGACCAGAAGAGCGAAGCGAGTGTAGGAGCCGTCTTGGACCCATTCAGATAAGAGCATACTGACACCACTCCCAATAAAGACTGTGATGATATGATTCAGTCACTCGGCAAACGTATGAACCAGAGGATGGCGTACAGATGCTGAGAGCAATACCAAGACCGTTGTAGATCGGGGCGAAAAGCCTGATCGGCCTGGGTTCCCTGGTGCCTTTTTCAACGTCCGTCTGCTCTTCTGTCTGATGTGGTTTGGAAGAAACCCTCCATCCCCAGAGACGCTTGCTAGTCTTCACGGGCTTGACCTCCCTGACGCTTACTTGAGGCTGGTCCTCAGCTTTCTCGGTCAGGTTAACGTCGGAGCCAGACTCGGCAGCGGATACCATCGAGGCCATAGTAGACGCAGGCTTTAATATGGGGCGGTTGCGCCAGACGAGCTTGATCAATTGTTGTTCGAACTCCTGACACAATGGCACAATGGAGTCCAGGGAGTCTGACCACAATACGAGCACTCTCTCGTCTCTCTGTGTCTCTGGTCAGGGCCCGCGCCAACGACTGGTTTGAACGAACTCACAATGAAAGCGCCGCATTGTTCTTTGTCAGCACCCGGAAGGTATGCCATCGTCTCGAGGATCTGTATCCGAGTGTTGGCGTCCACCTGTATACCGTTCGCATTCTCATCACTGTCAAGATCGTATGTTAGTGTTCTCGCTGAGTATGCACGATAGATAGGTTGACTTGCACTGTGGACAGAGCGGCATGTACCGCGGCACTCCGCAATTTTACGGCGATGACTGGGTTAAGGACGCGGACTGCGGCCTCGAAAGGCTCTAGGAAGCGGTTTTCATACGGGAAGACACGGAAGTGCCCAGGTTGAACTCTGAGACAGACGCCACCGTAGGCGTTCTCCTCTGAAGGTTTAAACCAAGCGTCTCCTTGAGTCTATCGAAAGGTTAGAGGACGAAGAACGGACGAAGACAGGTAACCGCACCTGTTTGAAGACATGATGCAGCAAGGCATCATATGCATCATAATCCATAGCCATGCTGACGGGCGGGAAGCTTAGCGTCGGAGTATCGCTGAAATTTGCGTGACTTCAGGAGGACCGGGTGCCGTAGCAAGGTCTGGATAATATTCTACAGGCGGTAGGTGAGGAAAGTGAGGGGACGGAGTCGCGTGAAGCAGCGCACTCGACTTAGGGAAATCCCCATATTACATGCTTTTATACGTGTAAAACATATGAGCAGCGACTTGGTCTAGCTCACGAGAGACACCGCGGGTCTGTTCCGTTCTAGATGCCGATCCTGTGCCAAACCTTGGGCTGATCCTCCCCTCAACACAAGGGCACTCAGGGCAGAAAGGTACCCATAGGCAAGATGGCGATGCGATCGAGCGTGATTCGTAATGTTGCGGGATCCAGTCCCTGGGGAAGACCATTCACATTCATCCGGGAAGGGGGAGTGTCTCAGAAATGGAGCACCCACGGAGATAGGCGATATTATGACAAGTCTTGAGAATCGCGCAGCAGAATCTTCTTCCGCCATCGGTCCCGAACCTTAGGAGTAAAGCGCTTGCATGGCGGCCCATGAAAATCGATAATGACTGTCTGGAACCAAAGTCTTCCGATGTTCGGAATCAGCCTTCGCTCCCAGTTCTCGGAATTCAGTATTTTTTGCATGATACCAAAGATCGCTGCCGAGAGCGATTCTGATGCCATTCGCTATTTTGAGATGGTCTGACCAGCATTTCTGCCGAGATGACCAGGGCTCCAGGTGCGAAAGGACGGACCGGATAGACCTCGCTCTCGGAGTGCCAATTACTGGCACATCTGTTTCATTCCCCTGCGAATGAGAGTGGCCGTCAGTATATGAAAGCTCTATCACCGAGTGATAGACAGCATGCTGGGTGCCTAGACAAGATACATTGGCACGGAGTCCCAGCTGGTGTTGTTCCGGATGAGTTAAGGAGTAAAAGCGCAGCACATGGATGGCATCGAACCTCGGATAAATCGATGCGGATCCGAAGGTGGGCTGTCCACCAACGATGGCCGGCTCTCGAGGACCTGGACAGACCGAATGCATACATCGCCTTATCCGACCTGAAACGTAAGAATATACGTTGTTTGAGGGAGAATTCACAGCGGCAACAATGCAACTGGCCTTCTACCAGTATACAACGGATTCACGGTGCATCTGTCGTAATATCAGACCCAGCGAGCAATATGGGGCGTTTGACGCTCTTACAGCGTGGGTTCTAAGGGCCGGAAGTGATTACAGACTCGAGTCCAGAATGCAGAGCAGGCAGCAGAAGACAGGAGCTTCTCAAGGGCAATCAACAAGGATCAACCGCACTCTGTTCCCACCAAGTCTTGCCAAGCGCCCATTGGAGATTATTTATGTATCGACGACGGAAATCGCAATCTAGGAACCGGCGCAGTTATCCCAGCACCGAACACATACTTATTGCCTGGAACAAACCTAAGATCCACTGTTCTCGAACAGATCTGACTACATTCGCGATGGGTCACCATACTGATAGTTCTATTTCTGGACGGCAATATGACACAGTGAAGGGAGGCTAATTCCGCAGCGATTGCCAACATTTCTTGTCAGCATCTACTATTCATGCCAGAGGGCAAGCCGTGGCACATACCTGTAATGTTCACGAGAGAGTCTATAGTGCTAGCAATCCTCATAAGACCGCACGCCGATCCGAGTTCCGCTACTCCATGAGCATGGAGGATGCCTTCGTGTATGCACCTCTCCACCTCAATAGGAGCGGAAGATCCTACTCTGGTACCTTCAAGGTATACATCGTTTCGTTCGTCAGCCGCGAGAGCATGCTTGACAGTAGCGAGATGCACGGATCTGGGACGGTCTTGATCCTACGGACACAAATATGGAACGCGCGCGTTGAGTCTTTTGTGCACGAATGCCAGAAGCAGCGGAAGAAACTTCGGGTGGGACACCCGGCTCCTCATAACCCTTCCGCAGAGTACAACAGCAGTTCATCCAAGCACAGTGGCTCATTCCTGGTAGAACGAACGGTAAAAATTCAGTCTAGAACATCAACAGAAAGTCGAACGGAAGCGACGTAACAGTGACGTAGGGCAACACAGGAATGCGGGAAGGCTTACTGTACTGTTATGCTTCCAAGGAGGTCGCCGGGATAGTATACTGCATTGCAGCTGGTTTTCTGGACGGGGCGGTGCCGGAGAGAAGAACCGGGGGAGGATTGAAGCGACTTCGAACATCTATTTCGAAATACGAGACATGCACCAAGCCATGAACCCGGTACGCGGTCAGCTCAACGGACTTGGATTTGCCGCGGTTGATGGTCACTGAGGCAACAACAGGCCACCGCGATAGAGAGCGTATTGCTGTGTATTTGAGTAATGCAAGCTGAAGGATATTGCACCACGTTGGCCGTGTAACATAACTGACAAGGCTCGAACTGATTTCCTCTCTAAAACGCAGTAAGCTCACCCGTCCGGACGATGAAGTTCCGGACGTCCAACGTCCAGTACAAGTGTGAACGGAGATACGTACCTGGCAGCGTAAGGTTTAGCTATCGAATTTGTCTAGGTGGACGGCACCGAGGAATCCCGTCGGCCTAGATGATCCTCATGCGTTGAAAGCCCATAAGGTAGTCAGACTTGCCAAGGGAAACCGAACCCCGTTGGTCGGTAGCCTCCACTTTCCTGGCAGAGGTGTGCTATCTCGATGAGCAGCGGCTCTACAAGAAAGCATAAGAATACCTGGGAGCATTTCTCGTACATGCGAAACTAGTCGGCTTCATATGCAAGTTATGACGCGTTGTATTCCCTTTCGACTCTGGTAGCAACACAGAAGAGACTGCTGTGACCTGCCCCCCCTCGCCCCCCCCCCCCATCGCGACTGAACTGAGAAGAGAACTTGACACCGATATCATACCGCTGGACCACTGGTACGGATAAATGACTGACAGTAGCGGAATTCCCTTAAAGGCAAGTCGTCCAAACTAAACAAGAGGTCAGCATCTGCGGGTTAGTGGCACCTCAGGTTTAGAGACATAATATTTAGCGGAATGCGTGGCAAGGGAGCGATACAGCGTCGAAAAGCCAACTTGTGTCTGGCAACACCTGTCACTGTAGCTCCACAGCGGAGCAACCTCGGAGGCAATGAGGTGAGATGCTGGCTCAAACGTATTTGGAGAGTAATATTCTAAAGAGCAGAAGGCGATCCTGGACACCGATAGCAAGCCCCTACCGCCGGTCCCGCGGCACTTAACCATATGCCGCTTCTTCTGCTGCAGCGCATGGATGACGCAGGCACATACACGTCAGCAGAGAAAGGAGGCAGAGGGATTAAGACTACCTTTGACATCCTGCATTCCGCGTACACATTCATCAACGGCGATGACGCATCGTATTCAGTCTTAAGGAGATGAACGATGATAGCCTCCAAGCTAAGTAAAAGGTTCTGGAGGGCATCCGCTAGGTGCAACGAACTTGAGATACCATACTTAGCTATTTGAAATTTAATTTGCGGAGAACTCACGTCGAAATAGTGGCTGTGTTGGACATAACTTGTTTGCTACCGTTTACTTGCCACGCGATGAATAGCTTCCGTTGTATGGCATGCAGGCGCTTCTCATGATCAGGGACTGATCCTTGAAGTGGAATAATGGTGGGTATAAAGTACCTGGTAAGCAGCGACGATTCTCGACCTCTCATGGGAAGGTAAAATCAGTCCCGCGCAACGGGATGACCAGGCGGAATTCGAGGGCCGACACGTACCCCCGCTCCTTGAGAGCATAAAGCTCCTTCAAGCGGCTCGGGATATGTGATGTCACGGGAGGTGACGGTAGACGTTGATAGGGTTTCTCATATCCCATGGAGCTGCAGTGTCCCGGCAGAGGACATGACGGTGGGACTTGTGGTGGAGTGTACTTTCGAGCTGACACATTTCTCCTCCAAAGATGGCCTGTGCCTGAGCAAGCCTCACGCCTGACTTATAATTGGGTGATGCACCGCATACCTCCGCCGGCGCCTAGAAGTTGATAATCTCATGTCAGTCCTAAATGAAAGATTGCATTGTCGAGGATCGTACCTGAGACCATCCAGCCACAACGTTGATACGTGCAGGTACGCACCGATGTTGATCATTCGGCACCGCAGACATCTCGGCCGTCAATGTCACTCGAAGAACATCCTTCCTTGTAATGGAGGGGCCAGACTGGGTCCCTTCTCGTCAGCGGCTTCATCCTACTGATGAGAATTCGGAAGGGGGAGAAAACGCGCTGTCTTAAAGCGGAGTCCTTGAATCTTTCATCCACAGCGACCCGCCTTGCGCTCATCCTCCTTCCTACTTTTGACTCGCGGCACAGTTACCCTCTCTCTTTCTTTGCTATATCAGCAATGACCACCATCCCGACGACCGGGCAAAACCGCGCCAATCCCCTGAAGCCACCCAAGCCTCTTTTCTTCACAGATCCAAACGCAACTCAGGCCGACACCAGTATAAGCACGAAAGACGTTGGAGCCCTTCGACAGATGTCGAGCTCGCAAAGCAACCCACGATCCCCGACGTCCCCTCTGAGCCCCGACGTCCAGCACCTGCCCGCTATGCAGCAGGTGCATCGAAGCCGCAGCCAGACGGCGGACATCGACCAACAGGACACGGAGTCAAGCAGCAACCATCAGACCAACGGCAACCCCTTTTCTCCACCCGCTTCCATTGTTAGCTTCTCAGCGCACAACGACAGTGAGGAAGCGATGTCTATCATATCGCCTGGTCATTCGACGACAGGCTCCATAGCCGGGCCCTTCACAGCTGCCGGCTCGAGAACAAGTTCGTTCCTTGAAATCCATCCAAGATCCACTGGGATTGTGCGGCCTATGTCGTCCTCGAGCAGCATGCCGAACAGCCCAGGCCTGCGCAAGTCTTTCGCAAGTCCGCCGACACGTCCAGTGACGATGTATAATGGCAACCAAGGCCATCTATCGGCTTTGATAGCCACCAACTTAGCTGGGCCCAAGAGAGCGAAGTCCACCATGTTGACAGGGGAGATCGAGAAACCCTGGCTCGGGCACAAAGACCCTCTTGCTCGGTAAGGCATCCGACGTGGCGAGCAGAATGCGAGTACTGACGTTAATGAGAAACAGGATGGCATACTGGCTCACGTATCTCGTCGCCTTTATCGGCATTGCAGCATCCGCCTTGCGATGCTGGTTCGCATACACGAGCGTGCCGATGATGAAGGGCAATCTATGCCTGATCCTCGAGGACGATTTCAATGGCGACAGCCTGAACACTGACATCTGGGAATATGAGGTCACTATGGGAGGATTCGGGTCAGTAGCCTTTCTTTCATGCTGCACTCAACAGTCACACTCACACCTCGTCGCAGAAATGGCGAGTTCGAGATGACCACGGATTCCTCTAACAATACCTTCCTGCGCGACGGGTACCTGTACATCCTGCCGACCCTTACGTCAGACGTCATTGGCAGAGACGCTATCACCAATGGGTACACATACAATATCACCGGCTGTACCACTGCAACCTCCAACGATGTAAGCACCGTGCTCTATGACGCATATAGAAGAGCTGACGAGGGCAATTCCAGAGTTCCACTTGCGGCGCTGTGTCCAACAACACCGCAGGCACCGTGATAAATCCCGCCATGTCCGCTCGCCTCAACACGAAGAAGAGTCGCAGCATCCAGTATGGCCGCGTAGAAATCAGAGCCAAAAACCCCGTCGGTGATTGGGTGAGATTGTCTGTTGTACCATAAATCCCAGAGCTGACATCCACTCTCAGTTGTGGCCGGCGGTATGGATGTTACCAGTCAACAACACCTATGGGCCTTGGCCAATGAGCGGTACGCCACATGGCTGGTGAATAAGAAGTAGATCGCACTTACCTTCACTACCAGGTGAGATCGATATCATGGAGTCCCGAGGAAACGGCCTCTCCTATACCGCTCAGTAGGTCTCTTTTCTGCGGCAGAGGACAAGTACTGACAGCCACGAAGAGGCAGCAACTACGTCCACGGATCCTTGAACTGGGGCCCACTGACGTGGCTCAACGAGGTTTGGCGGACGACCGGCTGGTGGACGGAGCGCCGCAGCAGCTTTGCCGACGCCTTCCACACCTATGCTCTGGAATGGGACGAAGACTTCATGTGAGTCCTTGCGGTGTTATCGCCTGGACTCTTGGCTGATGATGATACAGCCGGGTCTACGTCGACACGCGTCTCCATGGCATGCTCCAAGTCAACATGAAAGTGCCGTTCTTCGAGCGCGGCGACTTCCCACCCGTCGTTACCAACGGCACAGAGCAAATTGCGCTGGAGAATCCTTGGGTGTACGGCACGAAGGCTGCTCCGTTCGACATACGTAAGTTGCCTGATTGGTATGATAAACAAGATGAGAGTGCTTACGCGGTCCCGACAGCTTTCTACCTCATTATGAATGTTGCAGTAGGCGGCACGAACGGATGGTTTCCCGATAACGCGGGAGATAAGCCGTGGATCAATGGTGCGAGTAGTAAGTGTATCGCTTACAACGCCGGGGAGCGCTCTCTGAATTGTCCCATAGATGCTATGCAACAATTTGCGCAGGCGCAGGATAAATGGGCGACTACTTGGCCACAAGACGAATATAGCCGGGCTTTGGTCGTGTATGTACTGCGCCTCTGGGATTCAATCGGTCTCCCAAAATACTAATGCGCGTCCTCTGCCAACAGCGACTATGTCAAAATGTGGCAGAAATGCTGATCAACCTCTAGTCAGAGCTATCGAGCATTTACCCTACCATAGAGATTGTGCGGTTCACGTTGAGTTGACCAGCTTCATTGATTGGGGTCAGGGATATGGGAGAACTGGTCGTTTATACACGACATGCAGCCTGTTTCATAGTATTAACCTTCGATCATCGTATTATCACCAGGGCTGTAACTTACAGGATTATTAATGCCGCCATAGCGGACGCTGTCTTAAACATCTGTATACTGAGTAATCCAGCGAGTGGGAACGCTGTCCTTTCAGATCGAAGTCATATTGTACATGCCTAGAAATATAAACGAGCACGATGCTGAGCGGCTACAATATCTATATAGAGCAGTCACTGAGTCAGCTTTACTTCAGCCTCGTCCAGAGTTTCAAACACCGCAGTATGTACCTTCAGTCATTCGTCATCCTTCATCGGGGACTGGGGCACTGGCTCATGCTCTACTAAAAGCGCCTCCCTTTCTCCCGAATCTTGCGGTGAGTCAGACTCCTCGCGATCGTCGCATGCACAAATACATGCGGTGAAGTTATGTCCTGCATATCCAGCCCTTCAGTCGCATAGAAATTTGCAGTTTTCTTGCAGGGAGTAGAACCTACGTATTGATGCGAAGTCGGTGCAGATTCCAGCGAACACGTCGCAGCAAGCCAATATCGTGATAGAGCATACGGTACCGATAGGATCATTAGACATTTCTAAGAGATGCAGAGCTACAGTGATGCCAGTTTCATGGAGTACTTCGGTGAGGCTACAGGCGCAGAGGTATAGCCAGGCTCCTAAACCATAGCGTTCTCGCTCCTCCTTTACTAGGGCGCACGTGCAGTGTTACATAATACAAATCTATTTTTAATTTATTACCGGATACAGAACGAACAAGAGGAGGAGAACGCTATAGGACGGCTGGCACAAATGTCGTCGCCGAGATCCCCGAGGCTGACTAAGCGGACGGTGGCTGAAGCCTTTCACCAGCGGTCGGCGGGCCTTCACGCAAGCATTTACAACTTATTACCTTGGGATTTACCGCTCGGTGTACTTTATAGTAATGT